CAAGCCTCATGGAAGTTATCAAAAGTTAACAGAAAATACAGGCTAAAGATCTTCTAAAGATGGCATATATCCTGGCTGACATTTTTCCCAGTGATCTGTATATTAAATTTCTGGCTTCCAGGAATGCAGATTTTTTTTCTGACAGGTAATTGGATCCAGCAGTCACAGAAAACCTACACAAAACAGCACATCAATAACACAATAGACTGCAAAACAATACAATGCTGCAGCAACAAATATTTGAAACCAGTACATATAAAACAGATAAAGGTAAAGTGGATCGCTCCAAGGCTTGGAAACAGGTCTCACATGTTAGGGGAAAAGTTAGATGGAATAGAGAAGGGACCACTATTTACATGATTCTTGGAGGGCTCACTCGGGATGGTAGATACCTGTTGAAAGTAAAATATAGACCAAATATGATGCCCTGTTACTACATGCATTGCAAACCATAAAACCCCGAAGGAGAGGAGACTAAAACGGATTGTGTTTGCCACAGAGGCAGGTGGGAGAGAGTTTGTGGGGGTGGTGGGAGTGATACTGGGAAAATTGCTGGTGGAGAATGGGCACTGATGCAGAGATGGGTACTCAGTCATTTTATGACGGAACCGTATTCACGAAAGTTTGCAAATCTGTAACTGAACCTCCTGGTGATTCATTAAAAAATAAAAAATAAAATAATTAAACAATAATAATAAAAATTAAAATAATAATAAAATAGAAAAACAAAATAAATAATAAAATAATAATAATGAAAAATAAATAAAGTAGAATAGAAGGAAACCAAGTTATAAGGGAAATATATTTTTACAGAAACACAGATGGAAAGACAGACAGAAAGACAGACATATAGATGGATATGCACACAAGGCTAAACCCTAACAATATGTTACTAATCTCTTATAGAAGTGTTTAATGACTCCTGGGTGTAATATAACCGACTTGACATACTTCCTCTAAGAAACAGTTTTTGGATCATCTTAGCGAATTATTTATAACAAGTAGTACAAAATTAATTTTTTGGCTCTGCTTTAGGGCAGGGTTTTAGGTTTGGGATGGAAACATTTGAAATATGGTGGTGAGAAGTTGCAATGCTGGTGTATTGGTGTTTGAATATTAAGTGCACTCAAATATTGTGAACAACTGTATAAAATGAAATTAAATAAAGAAAAATCTTTTTAAGAGTTCAAAGCAACAAATCTGAGTGTTAAAATCTATGAAGAGGGAAAAAAAATCAAGAATATCTCAGATGTTTCTGTATTCAATTATCACGTGTTCAGAAATAGAATCCAGAAGGCTCATGTTAAAAAATGAATTCTGAAAGCCCCAAAGGTGCCATGTGGAGAGAAGAATCATGTGAGTCCATCACAAAGGTAGAGGCTTAGGACTGTGATCATTAGAAAGCAGTTGGATGTCAAAAAATGAAAGTGTACAGAGCAAGACCACTTAAGATCAAGGTTAAATCAGTATGGACTTATAATATTGAATATTGAATAGTGGAATTTTCTGCTATTCACAGTTCTTACTCTTCAGTCTATAAACCACTAGTAATTTCATCTATCACCTTGCACTGTAGCACTGTCCTATCATTGTTCATCGATTTGCTTAAGCGGGCCCAGTAACGTGTCCCATGTGAGACTTGTTACTGTGTTTGGCATACTGAATCTGGCATGGTAGCTTGCCTTGCTTTGTTGTGCGGGGGAGATACTCTCAGTAGCTTGCTGGGCTCTCTGAGAGGGGCAGAGGAATCGAACTCAACTCAGCCAGGCTGAGTAAATAAATTTATTATATTTAAATATAGTAATACTTCAGCCAGAGCCATAGTAAAGCAGATAGATATTTGGCTTGCTCAGGGATCTATCCAGGTTCAATCTAAGGCATCCCATACTTTTTTACAAGCACTGTCAGGCACAATTACTGAGTTTCGAACCAGGAGTAACCTCTTAGAATTTGAGGGTGCCCCAGCAAATAGTAAGACCTTATGAAGTACCCACAATACATAAGCCATTGTTTTAAGCTTATTAAGAGGAATTAAGTTGATAGTATTTTGGTAGAAATGGTCTAGCAAAAATATATAACTACAGTAACTACAACTGGTCTCATTCACCTCATTCATATAAGATCAAAGAGATAATATTTGGGAAAATTTCTGCAGGAAGGCAAGGGGAAGGCCAGAAAGGGGGGAGGTTCTGGGGAGACACACTGAAAGTTTTATGTTTGCGGGCGCTCTGGATGGCTCTATCTCACAGCCCATGATCGGTGCCCTAGAGCCATTGTGTGTGGCCTGTATAGGGAACACTGTTGGCCAAGGGCAGACGAAGTAAGAGACCAGGGCCAGGCCAGTTGATCTTTGTAGCAGTTTATTACAAGGAAGTTTATCCCATAGAAGAAATTTATGTTATGGAGGGCCTAGGTTCTCTCAAGCACATGTTCTCCTTGCTAGTCTCTCCATGGTCCATCTTGCAGCCCTGCTATCTCTCTCTCTCCAGCTCCCTGTCTCTCCAACTCCCTGGCAGTTTGGGCTAATACTCCACCTAGTCAGGTAGCTAAATCAACAGAAGAAAGCCTTCCTGAGGACCCACCTAAAAGGTAAGTCTAATGTCCTTCTGACTGCCCAAGGGCAAAATACCTCCTGAGGTGTTTTTCTCTTTTCCTCAGTCCAATAAACTATCAATAACTGATCGATTATCAACTATTCCTGAGGCTATGCAGGAAGGACAGAACAGTGTTATCCTTCATCTCCCCATTTTTCTTTTTACACAAAAACACAAAATTTGAAACAGAGAAAAAACACTAATTTCTGTATGGACACTGTAAGAGAGAACATTGAGACTTGTGGGGCAGCTGTCCTGGGAACATCTTGCCACAGACTCAGACTGCAGAGCTCAGACCAGATTAATCATTCCTAGCCCTAGCAGGGTCCAAATCTAGTTATTATTTTTTGGATCATGACAGCATTTGTCCATGACCAAGCTCTTCACTTATAGTTAAGCATTATGGTGCTTTGGCCAGGCCCATCTCGATGCCAGAGTAGCACATAGCTTACCTGCTTGCCCTGGTTCCATCCAGTCCCTCGTCGGGACCCTGCTTTGGGGGGTGCTAGGAAGTGTGGGCAACTGAGGCTTAAGTGAGAGAACAGATGCTGGGAGGGAAATATCACTGAGAGTCACATTACAAAAGCATGTCTCTTGTGTCCATACAAAAAGGACATTGCTCTGAATAACCTATGCAAAGGACTTAGGGAGAAGAAAAAAAGCAATATTTACATGCCAATAGAACACAAAGAAAGTTACAAATAAACACAGAGAAATGGGAGCACTGTGATGGGAGCAACCCAATAAACCTTAACTACCTGAGGTTATGCAGAAAGGACAAATCAGTGTTATCCTCTATCTCTCCCTTTTTTATTTTTTTACAAAAAACACAGAATTTGAAACAGAGGAACAATTCCAAATACAAGACAGTCTCATTAGTCGTAGTAAGATTTCAGTCCAACCCTGGACCCTAAGCAGTGCTTGTAGTAAGCGTCGAATTTTCCTGCACTCTTCAGGGGTAACGAGAGTCACCAATGATGAAAGTCATTTAGTCCCATTCTGAAGAAATGAAGTATCAGGATGAAAATTGAAGATTTGTTCCTATAACAGCATCAAGAGTAGTTGCAGTAGTGAGTCCCAAGGGAGCAGCTATTAGGAGTCTGATAAATTCCAGGCAGCACTGGATCAGTCGGGGAGCACTGGAACAGGAGCATCAGAGCTTCTGGCAGGAGTACTTCAGTAGGGGAATGCAGCCATTCTCCGGTCAGGTTCATCGGCAGTCATAGATGTACAACCTATCTTATGTTTGAGAAAAAGACTTTTTTTTAATTTATCAGAGGCTTTGATCATCAGGATTTGGTCTCCAATCATGTGATTAGAGAAAAAGACAGAAGGAAGCTCCAATACAAATGAATATCCTAGAGAGAAATGAAAAAAGTGTTCTTCTTTGAAAGTTTTCTCCTTCAGGAACCTGTGAATTCCAAGGAACGGGTAAAAGTAAAGTATTGTTAATTCAAAATACAGAGGCCTAGCATTGTCCAATCCACAACCTGTAAAAAGAGAGGTATAAGGAATGCCTTCATGTGAACTTTGATGTGTTAAAGAAGCCAGAGGCCTTGGTGCAGGTCTTCTGAGGCTGGCTCCTCTTCTTTCCCTTGTGACTTCCAGCGGAAATAGTTTGGAGATGGCTTGGGGCTGGAATGTGAAGGATTGTGAGTCTCTGCCAGTCTGAGGTCCAACTCAGGTGGAGGAATTCGAATTCTAATGAGACGTAATGGGATCCAAATTTTCCCAGTGGGTTATCATCTGTTGAAACAAAAGCATAGACTTGTCCTTGAATGAGGAGTTTCCCTGCTACATTCAAGTGGGAAAATACCTCCTTTTTGGTCTTGGATTTCACATGCCATATATCCAATGAATATGGAGAGGTGGTTGGCTTAAAGCCGCAGTGTTCTCTTTAAAGTCAAACTGCTTCTGCCTAAGAGTAGCGCCTAGAGTGCCTTGTGGAATTTGGCCCTTTATGGCAGAATTTAATTTGCAACAATACTGGGCAGAAAATCTCCAAGGCTGCGCTTCCTGCCACTACTGGCTGCAGGGATGATACTGATTGGAGCTCTTAAATTCCACACTGGGGAGAGGGGTTGCAGCTTGGAATATCCCCTGATATTGTGGGACCTGGGGCTGGTGTGCTTGCAGGTTTCCAGAATTGGGGTCAACAGCTACATCAAAATTGAAGGGACAATCTCTGGCCCAGTGATTTCCCCTCTTACACCTGGGACAGGGCCCAAGAGGTGCTCTCACAGTAGAATGTTTGGGAGGTGCCCTGCAGTCCTTACAAAAGTGGCCTTGTTTTCCACAATGAAAACATATTTTCTGAGCTCGTCTCTGTACAGTATATAGGCTTCCAAAGCCTTCATCTACACCTTATATTTAACAGAACCAACGTTCCTACATGCTTTCAAATACCCCATAATATCTGCCTTCTCTTTGATAGGGCACAGAATGGCTGGCAATCCTCATCAGCATTTTCAAAGGCCAATTGTTTAGTCAATAATTGCTGAGTTTCCTTATGCTTAACTTGCATTTCAATGGGTTCCTTCAATCTTCCTATGAAATCTGCATCAGGTTCTGAAGCCCTCTGGACCATCTTAGTCAAACTTTCCTTAAATTCTGCATCTGCATCAATCTTCTCCCAAGCACACAGGGCTATGTCACAGACATGAGCAAAAACAGCACCAGGCAAGGTGCCTTGCCTTTTTAGTCCTGCCATTTCCCTTCACCTATTAACATCTCCTAAGTCAGTTTAAACCCTGAAAATGTTCGTCCAGCATGGCCTAGACCATGAATCTTTGCCTTTGCCTCATCACTGAACCACATCCTCCACTGCAAGTACTGAGAAGGTCTTAAGCACGTTTTAGCAACAGTGTGAAAATCCTGAGTACCCAGTAAGCCTTTTGGCTCCAGTCTGTAAGATACTCCCTACAGTATGGAGCTGTAGGACCTTAGGAGGAACAGGCCTTTTTGAAATGACTGAGAGAATCCATTCTTAACCTGCAATAAGAGAGAGGCTGATTCTTCTCAGCCTGAACTGGGCGATTGGGAGCATGTCCCGAGCGGTCTGGAGGCCGCTTTGCTGAGCTGCTCTTGGACTCATAATCCGAGTAAGTGCAAGCAGACTCATAATCTGCATTGCTTTCATCTGATGCATTAGAAGTGGAGCTATATTCATCAACCTGAGAAATATTTTCACTATGAAAACCCTTTTGAGACTTAAGTATGGAGGGAACTGATGCCGTACGATCCCTAATATTCTCCTCCTCCTCAACTTTGCTTTTCCAAAACAGGAGAATAGAATCAACATTCTCCCAAGTATTCCAGAATTCCAGGGGGATCTTATTCCCTTCCTTAGATGCCTTGTAGACATTTTTCTTAACTTTTTCCCAAATCTCGGTTTCTAGAGTACCTTCATCCTGGAACCATGCGTTTATCTAATAAACTACTTTAAGGCAGAACCGGAGCTGGTCTTGGAAATGTGTAGTGCTGGGTTCCGTCGTGAGGGAGAGAAACTGAATCAAATCCATAAACGTCTTGTCCCGTTCAGTATGGCTCCAGACACTTTGAAAGATCTTGGGAAGGCCCAGAATCTGTCCCATCCTAGTGGGGGTTTGCCACTAGGATTCTAACTCCCAGTAAACTAAAAAATTTTATTCTCCCACTCATTTTTTTAGAGTGGGGGTGCACCGAAAGCAATTCTTACCTTTTGGGTTGGTAGCTCAAGCCCGCCCAAGGGATGCCAGCTGTAAAAAACTAAACACGCTGAGGGTTGTGTGTTTGTGGGCTCTCTAGAGGGCTCTATCTCACAGCCCTTATTTGATGCCCTAGAGCCGCTCTGTGTGGCCTGCATAGGAAACGCTGTTGGCCAAGGGTAGAGGCGGGAAGACACGAGGGCCAGGCTGGTTGATCTTTGTAGCAGTTTATTACCAGGAAGTTTATTCCATAGAAGAAATTTATGTTATATAGGGCCTAGGTTCTCTCAAGCACATGTTCTCCTTGCTAGTCTCTCCATGGGCCATCTTGCAGCCTGTTCTCTATCTCCAGCTCCCATATCTCTCCAACTCCCTGGCAGTCTGGGTTGACACTCCACCCAGTCAGGTAGCCAAATGAACAGAAGAAAGCCCTTCCTGAGGGCCCACCTAAAAGGTAATTCTAAAGCTCTTCGTGACTGCCCAAGGGCAAAATACCTCCTAAGGTGTTTTTCTCTTTTCCTCAGTCAAATAAAATATCAACTACCAACTATTCCAGAGGTTATGCAGGAAGGACAGAACAGTGCTATCCTACAGAATGTGCACTGGTGGAGGGATCTGCGTTTCAACATTATATGTTTGTGACTCAAACATGAAAGCTTGTAACTGTATCTCACGGTGATTCATAAAATAAAATTTAAAAAATATAAAGATTCAATCAAAAGAACTCTCAAAAAAAGGAAAGATAAGAAAATAAAGAAAACGTGATTCAAAATCTATTTGGAGTACTAACCCTTCCACGACCCGATGGAGCTAGCCCCAGCAGCCAAAAACCTCCAGAACTTGAAAGCCATGATCATGGCCGCTATCAGCATGTGTGAACAAGCCTCACCTATACGTGAATCTGCAGAAAAACTCAGGTGTGTGGGACTTCAGACGGAAAACTCGAGGTTCAATGAAATCAGAGAATGGGTGACCTCTCCCCAACTCCCTCTGTTTCCAGCAGTTTGGCAGTCACGCCCACAAACCACCTCTGCTGCTATATAATCTCATCAATGGCTGTGATCCGGAGACTCAACAACAAATCTCTCAGAAGAGAGCACAGAACAATACACCATAGACCTGCCCCTAGATCCCATGCCAGCCTGTTGTTTTCAGGGCATCCCAGAGGGGGCGTTGGTGAGGTCCAATGAAGCCAGCCCCAGCAGTCTTCCTTCCTTCCTTCCTTCCTTCCTTCCTTCCTTCCATCCTTCCTTCCTTCCTTCTTTCCTTCTTTCCTTTCTACTTTCCATCCTTCCTTTCTTCCTTCCTTCCATCCTTATTTCCTTCCTTACATATGCCTTTTTTCTTCTTTCTTTCTTTCTTTCTTTCTTTCTTTCTTTCTTCTCCTTTTTTCTATTTCTTATTTCTCTCTCTCTCTTTCTTCCTCCCAGTCATACTTTCTTACTTTTGCTAATTAGGAATCAGCAAATATTTTCTATTTAAAAAACTACAAAGAATAAACTGTTTCCTCTTTGAGGATCTATCTCTGTCTCTGCTTAACTCTGCAGTTGTAGTATGAAATCAGCCCCTGGACACTTGTATGATCCTTCCCCAGCAAAGTTCCTGATTCTGTCTTTGCTCTGACTCCTACTGGCTCATCTTTTTTTTCACTTCTAAAATATATATCTGCTCCAACACTAAGCAATAATGTAGGGGTTAATATATGAATATTCCATGTGACTGACCCTGGTTCTATCTCCAGCACCACATATGGTCCCATGAACACCACCAGGAGCCACTATTGAGCACAGAGACAGGAGTACCTGAGTATCACTGGGGCTGGCCCAAATCCTCTCTCTTTACACACACAAACAAACATACATCACACACACACACACACACACTTCCTGGGCTATCCGGATTGATAGTACAGTGAGTAGGGTACTTGCCATATATGAAGACATTCCTCAAGGGTTCAAGGAACCATACATATTGGGATGGTAGGGATGGAATTCAGGTTCACCAAGTGCAAGGCAAGTACATTTCCCACTGGATTATCATTTTGATCCAGATGAGGACACTATTTTAAATAACAACTGCCTTCAGGTAGTTCTTGTATTCTTTCTGATTCTTTTTAGATGTCCCCAATTATCCCACACTACTTGGAATTTTCCAATAGATGCTACAATTTGTTGATCACAATAATTGGTTATAATCTGTCTAAATTGTTTCTCATCTGCCAAATCCAATTGTCACTTTGAATCTCCAGCTGTGGTCGGTCACAGAGAATAGGACAAATACAGAAGTAGAAAAACACGTGGATTGGCCAAGCTTTAGGGTTACCTGTGCAGCATTCAGTGGTCTTATGGCAGGTCAATATAATGCAATATTGCTCCCCCAACCCCAGCAGATCCCTACAGGTAAGCCATTGTTGGAGTTGACAAAGACTTCAAGGACAGTTAGGAAGTATATTAACATGCCACAGGAACCTGGTGAGCAGAGGCTAGCGTAGTTCACAGAGAATCAGTTAGCATCCTTAAAAAATAAAGTTGTTTGTGCAGGAGAGATAATACAGTGTACAAGGTACCTCTCTTGCACCCAGTCTATCGAGCTACTCCAGGAGTGATTCCTGAGTGTGGACCCGGGAGCAAGCCCTGAGCATGGCTAGGTGAGGACCCAAAATCAAAATAAATAAATAAATAAATAAACGATGGTGAAAGCTGTTTCTTCTATTTTTGGCTATATTGTCCCATAAATCTAAAAGACCCTACAAAGTATTATTCTATGTTTCCCTGGCACAAGTTTACAGCTGGCAGATGCTGTGTCATCTATTCTATCTTTGCCTACTATTCTTTTCTGGGTACATATTTTCTAACGGAACACCCTAAACTCAGTGTTTTTTGTTACGGAAGATTTCTCATAATAATCCATCATTTCCTAACCATAAAGTAAGTAATAATGTATATGATAAAGCATTAACATATCACTTAATATTATTAAACATTACACAAGATACACTAGCAGTAACTTAATGTTATTGGTTAACTAGGCAATACAAATTATTACCTAGTACCTGTTGATTTATTAATGAAATATGTAAGCTCATCAGTATATAGGAGTATTTCCCTAACTTAGCATCATGTATGGTTCCCTAAACACAACCAGTAGTAACCCCTGAGTGCGTGAGCAAGGAGGAACTCCTGTGCAATGCCCGGTTTGACCAAAAAAGAAAAAAGAGTTTCTTCCTAACATGACAGCCTTTTGATAGCAGTCGACATCTGCTTTAGGTTCTAAGAAGAAATAGAAAAATCAAGTGTCAAATGTCTAATGTCAAATGTCTCACTGTCCATTTTCGTCCCGTTGTTCATCAATTTGATCGAGCAGGCCCAGTAACATCTCCATTGTGAAAATTGTTACTATTTTTGGCATATCGAATACGTCACGGGTAGCTTGCAGGCGAGATACTTTTGGTACTTGTCCGGCTCTTTGAGAGGGGCGGAGGAATTGAACTTAGGTCGTCCATGTTGTCTGAGTGCAAGGCAAACGGCCTACCTGCTGTATTATCGCTCCAGCCCTGATGTGTAAGTGCACATTGATTTCAGTTTTGTGGAGTCTGAGTTTTTCTACATTAAAAATATTTAAATTGGATTATGGTGATTATTTCTGAAACTTTGAGAATGACAATTTCCTGGTTGATAAAAATACTTGTCATCTAGATTTTAAAAATAAATCTTAAATTTTTTGACCATTTCTTTAAATGGTCTTTTCTGCTTCTTGTGTGATTTACAGAAATTGTATGCTCTATTGAGTACCTGTTGTTTGATGGCTAAATTCAGAGGTATGAATGAGAATAATAATGTCATTTCCTTGTTATTATTGTATTTATTTCTGATTTAGACTCCTTTAAAACATATACTGGCTACCACATGCAATGACATTTATTATATTTACTGCTTGTGATGTAAGTTACTGGTAAACCTTCTGTTTTATGGACTGGTAAGATATATACTCAAAAAACACCGTCTACTGCCTTTTTAACTAGTAGTTTTTGCTAAAATAGAATTTGATCTTTATATCATATACATGACAATTTCTTCATAAAATTGTTTTACTGTTTTCTTTGTTGAGTTTGGGAATGGTATTCACAGTTCGTCAGGGCTTACTCTTGTGTCTGCTCTCAATCATTTACTGTACTATGCTGCTTGCCACATAGCCCAGATTTCATAGATATCTACAAACTCTTTTTCAGTTCTGTGATACTTATTTTTTATGAATTTTTTTCTTGTTCTCTATACTTCCTCCCATGTAATTCACTTGAAATAGACAAATTTTATTTCTGTGTGCAAATTATTCTTTTTCTTTCCTGCTTTTTTGGGTCACACCTGGCGATATACAGGGGTTACTCCTGGCTTTGCACTCAGGAATCACCCCTGGCGGTGCTCAGGGGACTATATAGGATGCTGGGAATCGAACCCGGGTTGGCCGCATGCAAGGCCCTACCCACTGTGCTATTGCTCCAGCCCCAAATTATTCTTAATTAAAGTTGTAATTATTTCCTTTGCAGGAATTCAACTTGAGACTCAGAATTTAAACAACAGTCTTCCTTCCAAATGCACGGTCACAGTCTCAGTCCTCCCATTGTTCATCAATTTGCTCGAGCGGGCCCAGTAAGGTCTCCATCTTGAGACTTGGTTGTTACTGTGTTTGGCATATCAAATACGTCACGGGTAGCTTGCCAGACTTTGCCGTATGGGGAGATACTCTCGGTAGCTTGCTGGGCTCTTCGAGAGGGGCAGAGGAATTGAACTCGGGTTGGCCATGTTGGCTGTGTGCAAGGCAAACGCCCTACCCGCTGTGCTATCGCTCCAGCGCTCCAAACGCACATATTTAGAAAAACTACAGTACTCATTTTTGAGGGGCGATCAAAA